TGATATGGAGGATATCCAGTAAAAATTTCTGACATAATTATTCCGAAAGAATAAATATCAGATTTTTGAGTATATTCGTTTCCATTTGTATACAATACTTCTGGTGCAAGATAGGGAAGCACACCATAAAGTGCTTTAGAACTTGAGCCTTGTGACACTGGCTTACATAATCCAAAATCAGTAATGTAGGAACTAAACATATTTTGATTAACTATATTTCCGGAATGAAGATCTTTATGAACTAATTGGGCTTTATGAATTGTCTCAAGCCCATTAGCTATGTAATATAGGCTAGCTATTTTAGAAGCCCAATCTAATTCATCATATTTATTATCTAATAATTCTCGGAGACTTCCCTGCTTCGCATACTCCATAACTATCATATAGTTACCATCTTTTGGGTTCTTAGTTACTCCATAAATCGAAATTGCCGAATCGCTCCCATATTTGTGTTGATTTTTAACCTAAATATTAATTAGGATAAATGAGATTATTACACTTTAATAATCGTAAATTTAGGATTCGTACATACCTCTTCTAAAAAATCGCGTTTTATATCTTTAGAATTATCAAGACTTTTTAAACAAACTTCTTCTCGAGAACTTCTCTTCCATTCATTCTTCTGCTGATCAAATCCTGTAATATATCCGTCAACCCATACTGCCCTAAAAACAGTTCCAAAACCTCCTTTAGCAAGATACTTTATATTTGCAAAATTTCTAAAGGGTACCCATTCAATAATGTCTTCGAAATTTTTTGCATTAAGTTGTGCTTGTTGAATTAATTGATCAATGTCATAGTTATCGCTTGTCCAATTATGAAATTCTTTCTCAAATCTTAAAAGATGCCGAAAAATAATAAATATAATTAAATTAAAATTTATAAAATTTAAAAAATGATTATACCGCCTATCATGAAACAATTATTTATTGCGTTAGAATTATCATGATTTGAATAGTGAATTACTATAAAAAATTCGCGGTTATTGTACTTACTGACTATTGTGGTTGCGTAAGTAATTCATATAGGGTTGTGTTAGGTTTGTAATGGACTTTTCATGATTTGTATAGTGATTTTGCTGTGAAAAGTTTCTTTACTGTACTTACTTGCTATGTAATTTGAGGTAGGGTTATGTTAGTTTTATAATGGACTTATCGTGATTTCTGGGTTTATAATGATTTGCCGCGGTTACTGTACTTACTAACTATGGTGATTTAGATAGGTTATGTTAGTTTATAATAGACTTATCGTGATTTGTAGTGATTTGCTGTGCAAAGTTCGGTTTAGAGATTGTATCCGGGCAGGCATTTTTATTATATGGCTACTGTATAATAAATTATCCGAATAACTGAATAATTTAATAATACCCGGGTAGTGATTTCTTGACGGGTACAATCTCTAGTTCGGTTACTGTACTTACTCTCTATGTGATTTAGATAGGGTTATGTTAGTTTTGTAATGGACTTATCGTGATTCGTATAGTGATTTGCTATAAAAAGTTCGGTTACTTTACTTACTCGCTATGTGATTTATATAGGGTTATGTTAGTTTTGTAATGGACTTATCGTTATTTGCATTGATTTGCTGTAAAAAGTCCGGTTACTGTACTTACAGACTATTGTGGTTGCGTAAGTAATTTAGATAGGGTTATGTTAATTTGTAATGGACTTATCGTGATTTGTATAGTGATTTGCTGTAAAAAGTTTGGTTACTGTACTTACTAACTTTGGTGACTGCGTAAGTGATTTAGATAAGGTTATGTTAGTTTTGTAATGGATTTATCATGGTGATTTTTTGCTGTAAAAAGTTCGGTTACTGTACTTACCGACTATTATTGTTCGTAATCGATTTAGATAAGGTTATGTTAGTTTGTAATGGAATTATCGTGATTGTATAGTATTATAATTTGTTGTAAAAAGTTCGGTTACTGTACTTACTCGCTATAATGATTGCGTAAGTGATTTAGATAGGGTATATAAGTTTTTGTAATGGAATTTTCATGATGATTCTGTAAAAAGTTCGATTACTGTACTTACCGACTATTGTGGTTGTATATGTTAGTTTTACAATGGACTTATAGTGATTTGTTGTAAAAGTTCGGTTACTGTACTTACTCGCTATGGTGGTTGTGTAGGTGATTAAGATAAGGTTATGTTAGTTTTGAATGGACTTATCGTGGTTGTATAGTGATTTGTTGTAAAAAGTTCGGTTACTGTGCTTACAGACTATTGTGGTTGCACAAGTGATTTAGATGGTTTTACCACAAAAAGATTTCCGAAAGGACTTAATACCGACAAAGTTAGCCAGCGTTAGTTATAATGCTGACCAATTTAGTCGGTATTATGTTCTTTCGGGAAAATGGGTTTCGGGATTTTGTGGTAGAACCGATTTAGATAGGGTTATGTTAGTTTTGTAATGGACTTATCATGATTTGTACAATGATTTACTGTAAAAAGTTCGGTTACTGCACTTACAGACTATTGTGGTTGCATAAGCGGTTTAGATAGGGTTATGTTAGTAATTAATTACTGTGAAAGTTGTAAAAGTTCGGTTACTGTACTTACCGACTATTGTGGTTGTGTAAATGATTTAGGTAGGGTTATGTTAGTTTTGCAGCGATTTGTATGGTGATTTGCTGTAAAAAGTTCGGTTGCTGTACTTACCGACTATTGTGGTTGTGTAAGTGATTTAGATAGGATTATGTTAGTTTTGTAATGGACTTATAGTGATTTGCTGTAAGAAGTTCGATTACTGTACTTACTAACTATTATGATTGCGTAAGTGATTTATATAGGTTATATTTTGTAATGGACTTATCGTGATTTGTATAGTGATTTGATGTAAAAAGTTCAGTTACTCACTCGCTATGGGACATACGTGATTTATGTTAGTTTTGTAATGGACTAGTATAGTGATTTGTTGTAAAAAAGTTCAGCTACTGTACTTACCGACTATTGTGGTTGCGTAAGTGATTTAAATAGGGTTATGTTAGGTTTGTTGTAATTTGTATAGTGATTTGCTACAAAAAGTTTGGTTACTGTACTTACAGGCTATTATGATTGTGTAGGTGGGGTTATGTTAGTTTTGTAATGGATAATCGTGAGTTGTATAATAGATTAGCTGTAAAAAATTCGGTTCCTGTACTTACTCGCTATGGTGACATACGTGATTTAGATTGGGCTATGTTAGTTTTGCAATGGACTTATCGTGATTTGTATAGTGTTTTACTGTAGAAGTACTTACAGACTATTGTGGCTGTGTAAGTGATTTAGATAGGGTTATGTTAATTTTGTAACGAACTTATCGTGATTGTAGTGTTCCGCAAAACCGAACCGATACCCGAACTCGAACCCGAACCCGCTCGTTCGGGTCAATTTCGGTTTTACGATTTTTAGACCGAGCGATTTCGGGTCTTAGATTCGGGTACTCGATTACCCGCATATATTAATCACCTGACCTTGAATGAATAGAAATTCAGAAATTTAAGAAGTTCTTTGCACTCATATATATATATATATGTACATTTTTTTTTTTTTCTTTTTAAAACACGTACTTACCTACCTTTCGTGCAAATTAATGTTTTATACACGTTTTATACATACAAGCTTTCCCTAGATTTTGTTTTTTTAAAAAAACATAAATACTGTACACATTCTCCCTTTAGCATGGCAAGCGTTACAAATTTCATAGGAAATATCTATATAGACGACCCTTTCCTATTAGACGATAATATCGAAGCAGAAAGTTCTCATGAAAATTCCCATATTAATGAATATGATAACCTGGAAACCAGTGACTCCTCACAAGCAGAGGCTGTTGTTGGCGATAGGTTTACTTTACGTCCTAAATCATTATGATAACCGATAAACGAACTGGTTATCTGAAAAAAAATGGTGAGGTCAGCAATGTGCCTAAGGTCATGGTGGAGAGGATATCAAGATGAGCAAAATGAGCAAGATTAAATCGGGCTTGTAAGGGCAAATATTTTAATTTTTTTTTGATTTTTCGGGGAGGAGGTTTTTTTTCTTTTTTTTTGATTTTTCGGTTCTTTTTTTTTTAATTTGTATATTTGCTTAATTTGGCTATTATTGCCAACAATTAATTCTCATTTATGAAGTTACGTTTTTTCGGTTGCTGAATAATAACGGGTTTTTGTTCTGATTTCAACTGCTTTTGTCATTTTTTTTTTTGGCCTTGGAATCTTCAATTAACTTTCGGCTACCTTTTTTTTTTTTTTGACTTGCAAGTTTTTTTTTTTTCTTGTAATATAATCGTGATGGGTTAACAAAAACCTGCAGACAGGATTCATTTGGTGTTTTATAAAGCATTATAGCAATATATTATCAAAGCCTGGCATTTTATTGGCTTTAATCATATCTTTTTTTTTATTTTTCGCTTTGGCGTTTGAATATTTAGTATAAGCAATAAAGATTTATAAGACTTGAGCTTTATTATAATTTTTTATTTGGTGTATAAAATCGTCGTAGAATTTTGATACAATAATTGGGTCCCGGTTCGGGTTCGGTTTTTGACGATATGGTTCCGAGCCCGAGTACTGAATCGAACCAAATTTTTGATTCGAGCCCGGTTTTGCACAAAACCCGGACCGTGTAGAACACTACGTGATTGTATAGTGATTTGCTGTAAGAAATTCGGTTGCTTTACTTACTTGCTATAATGGTGATTTTGGTAGGGTTATGTCAGTTTTGCAATGGACTTATCGTAAAAGTTAGGTTACTGTACTTACCGACTATTGTGGTTGCGTAAGTGGTTTGCATAATTTTGTATAAAAAAAAACAATCACTTAATTTTAGGCGATTTTTTGGTGATTTTTTGGTGATTTCTGATTGATTAAAACTACTCCAACATCTATATATGAAGTTGTCGTATCGGTGTAGTTTAAGAAACCAGAAATCACCTAGAAATCGCCTAAAATCGAGTGATTGCTTTTTTTTTTGATCTGCAAATTTCACAAAATTATGCAAACCGAATAAATAGGATAATGTTAGTCTTAACTTATCACTGTAAAAAGTTTGGTTACTGTACTTACCGACTATTGTGGCTGTGTAAGTGATTTGATAGGGTTATGTTAGTTTTGTAATAGACTTATCGTGATTTGTATAGTGGTTTGCTGATAAAAGTTCGGTTACCATACTTACTAACTATTGTGGTTGCATAAGCAATTTAGATAGGATTATGTTAGTTTTGTAATTGACTTATCGTGGTTTGTATGTGATTTGCTGTAAAGCCAGGTAGTAATTCAATTTACAAATTTATTAAAAACTACCTGGTTTTATACGACCTCTGGACTTACATACTATTGTGACATAGGCAATTTAGATAAAGTTATGTTAATTTTGTAATGAACTTATAGTGATTTGTATAGTGATTTATTGTAAAAAGTTCGGTTACTATACTTACTAACTATTGTAAGTGATTTAGATAGAGTTATGTTAGTTTGTCGTGATTTGTATATTAATTTGCTGTAAAAAGTTCGGTCACTGTACTTATGGGCTATGGTGACATATTTTGAATAGGGTTATGTTAGTTTCGTAATGGATTAATCGTAATTTGTATAGTGATTTGCTGTAAAAATTGGTTATTGTACTGTACTTATGGTTGCGTAAGTGATTTAAATAGTGTTATGTTGGTTTTAGGGATGGCAAATGTTTTAAAACATCGTGTTTTAAAACATGTTTTAAATGTTTTAAAACATTGAAATTTCAATAAAAAACAATAAAAAAACAAATATATATTTATTAACCAATCAGATTATAGAATTTTAATCACATTACATATCATATGGGCGGATTTTGTGATTTTCGTGATGTTTACGAATAAGATCTACCAATCAGATAAATAAAAATTGTGATTAT